GGAAAGAGAGAGAGAGAGTCACACACTTGAGCAGAGGAGAGGGTCAAGACAGTCCAAACCGAGCGCTTCACTTCATTACGCACAGAGAAATCACGCAGAACACAACCCACGCCCGCGATACCGAGCACACATCAAGAGCTGTGAAGGGACGGGGTTTAAGGAATTACGCGTCACGTTGGAGAATCGATCGGGTCTAAAGTGAGTTTTTGTGGATTTGGTGCGTCTGGAGAGCTGTGAGGATGCGCGTCTGGGTCCTGCTGCTGCTCTGCGCTCTTTACGCAGGAGACGCGCACAAACTCTCCGCGCTTACGGTGGGTCACCACACACTACACTTCACAATCAAGCTATATAATCGCTCACATTAATAGAACGATTGCTGATGAACAAATATTAATAGTCTGTATGTTAAAATTATGGTTTATAGCATTTCTGACTGACTCTTTCAATGTCTTTTAACCAATGTCCAGTAATATTATGGATATGTATATTTTGGTATATACTGCATAAACAAGTCATATTACTAACATGATGTCACATGATGTCACAGCACAAAAAAAAAAATATATATATACACACACACACACACACACACACATATATATATATATATATATGGTTTTCTGTTTCATACATTTTTTAATTTTAAAATTTTTATTATTGTTATTAATTTTCAAGCCAACTTATATATAATAACATTTCCCAATATTTCAGAGAAAGTGATTTAATTTTTAATCTTTAAATGTATACAGTGCAAATGTTTTAACTGGTAGTCTTTTTGTGGCACCCTCAAAATGTTCTTTTTTTCCCCGAGACAAATTATTTACACCAGTAAAAATCACTAGTATGGGTCAGATCAGGCAGAAATAATTCCTAATGTAATTTGATCAGTGTAGTAAAATATCACTGGTTTTGTCATCAGAATCAGAATTCATTGTTATTGGACAAGTCTGTTTAGTGTTTTTCACTCAAGGACAGTAAATATGGCAGTTTGATATGGGTTTTTGTGATGCAGACTCTTTGTGGTTGTGCTTCTGTGTTTGTTTAGTAAAACAAGAAGCTGAGACACAGAGTAAGGTGAGATGAGTAATCATGAGAATCCTATTTGGGATTAAGACTAGTGATGTTTGTGTACTCGCAATTCAGGAGGGTAACCAGAGATCCACAAGCTTTCTTTCAAACAATCACATACACACACACACACACACACACACACACACACACACACATAGTGGGAGCTACAGGTGCACACCCACCTTATGCTTTCCTTTATATGTGACAAGCGCTTGGTTTTGGCTGCTAAGTGCTGGGAACAGGAGATTTTCTCCCGTTCCTGCGGCCGCTGGCCTCTACATGGACGTCTGCCTGTGTACACAGGGTTAGGACTGCTGATTGCGGGAAGCCGCTCCCCATTAACCGAGTGAGAGAGTGAGTGTAGCTCATCCCAGAGGGACATGACCGCTAGAGAGAGAGAGAGAGAGAGCGATACACGGGTACACTGGTCCACCCTGAGCCTGGACACAGAGCAGCTTTGACGGACCTCGAATCCCAGGCATTTATGTTCAACCAAACTTGCCCCAGCTGAATGCTAGAGAAGGTTTGCACTTTCAATAGTGAGACAGGAAACGGCCCACTTTCTAATCCATAAATGTTGGTAAATGGTCAATATTTGTGTACCTGTCAGGAATTGCAACAAATGTTGTATATAATCAAGTGTGCTTTGCAGCTGTCTGGGATTTTTGCATTTGTGGTCACATAGTTTGTTCTTTACCAAATGCACCGATAACATGCAAAGAATATATTTAATATTTAATGCTATACAGAAGCTTTTGTTGAATGCATATTCGAGAATCACATTAATAGAGCAAAGCTCACTCTCTTTCTGATTTGCTATATATGGGGCAGGTATTGTAGTATCATTGATACAGTTTTTATTAATAATTGTATTTAGTTTTTCTTTTTATATTTACAATTTTCATATTTAATATCCATATTCTCATTTTAATTTAAAAATGTGTCATTTTTATTCTTTTATCCTTTTTAGATTTTTAATTCTTTTTTGTCTAGTTTATAGTTATTAGTTTTAGTTATTTTAGTCAACAAAATGTTTCCTTGGCAGCTAGCTAAAATAAGATAAGTTCAAGTTTTTTAAATTGAATTTTATTGCAGGTACTGTTTATTTGATTAATTTTATGCAAGCTTCTAGGTACTGTTTTTATTTTTATATTTTTCATTTTTATTTTAATTTGAGTACATTTTTTGTAATTGTGTGTTTTATCAATTTATTATTTTTGATATATGTTTAGTATTCTTTGTCTATATAGTTTTTAATAAATTTTCAGTTTTAGTTTTAGTTATTTTAGTACATGAAGTTAAACTAAATAAACCTTGGCAACTAGGTAAAATAAAAAACATTTACACTTTTTTATACTTTATTTTATTAATTTCAGTTAGTTTTTGTTTTTATATTTTCCATTTGTATTTACAGTTCAGTTAAAGGTTTAGTAATTTTGTTGTGTTTTTGTAATTTTTATTAGGTTTTTAAAACTATGTCTAGTTTTTATTTTTTATTTTAGTTTCAGGTTTCACATCAAATGTACTAAAATAAATAGTGTACTAAAAAAAAGTACTAAATGTACTAAAATAAATGCATTTTAGTACACCAAATGAAAGTTTTCTTTCAATTCAAAATTTATTTCAAGCAACATTTTTTTTAATGGTTTTAGTTCACTATAATAACCCTGATTTGAAATCCCAAGAGTGTTATTTTCTCACTGTGTTGACTGCCCAGCGCACTGCTGTGATTTCACTCTGGGCCGTAGACCGCTGAGTTTTTACCTGGCATAGCGTTCTTGGAGCTGATGGAGGCTGTTAGCACCAAGGCCAGAGATACAGTTGCTGTCAATGTTTCTCTGCTGGCATCTGCTGCTGCTCGGCCTTCTGGGATGGCAGCTATGTGGCACGGGCATGAATCAGGGCCTGTGATGACGAGGTCTCATGGGCACCTGCTGCAGCCGTGCCGGAAAGAGAAGATATGCTGTTATTTGAGAGAGAGTAAACAGGGGAATTCATTTCAAGTCTCTAGGTACGAACCTCTCGCTACAGAGCAGCAGGGCTCTGTTTAAATAAACTAGCCGTCCCGAGGTGTCAAATTCACCTGTACTAGTCCATCGTCAGGTTTGGTTGGGCAGAAAGAGCTGCCAGCCGAAAAGCATAACAAAAAGGGTAGAAGACAATATGTGAAGACTAATACAGTCACATTAGCAAACTTTTTTGTGCACAAAAAAGCCTGATGTTGATAGTATGAAGCACAACTCACAGAAAAGTCATTTTCAAACCAAGCAGATTTCTATTGGCCAGTGCAGCAAATTTACTAGACCAATGTGAACCCAATACGAAATCAACATTCCCATTCGTGTGGATTTCATGTGCGAAAATTTGCCAAATTTGAACAGTAAATGTAACCAAACCTTAAATCAATCCATGCAGCAGATTATGGGAAGGAATGCACAGTTGTCAGAATCAGAGTGCTGTGATTTACAGAGAAATGCTCTGGTCGACTCTCCGCCGCTCATTACTTACAGGTCGAGTAGGGATGCCTCTACATCTAAACGTTAACAAATGGCTATGGGTAGTTAACCTGGAGGTCAGAGGTCATCCCATCTCACTCCTCTTACTCAGCCTGGCAGAGCGGAATGTGGGAGCGTGGGACACACACACACACACACACACACACACACACACACACACACACACACACCCACACGCTTGCTGTAAGCAGACTGATCTCAGAGCTGTTGTCTTAACTTCTATGACACAGTTAAACAGGGTTGCAATGCAGTTTGTGCAAAGAGGCTGTAACTGAAGGATGGGACAGCATTTATTAAACATAATTGACCCAACAGCATTATATTAAATAATACTCACAAAATACTTTATTTTTATTGAATCCTAAACACACAACATAAAAACTTTACAGATATAACGAGACATCCAAACAGACAATAACCTCCTAATACAGGGGTTTACCAAAAAATAAAAATAAATAAATAAAATCAAATGAAATAATTGCATAAATAAGTAAATAAAAATCAAAATAAAAAAATAAAAGATAGCAGTTTTTAACTTTTTACTTTAAAATGAACTCTCAAGTAAATAGAATTGTATACAGAATTCATAGACAGAGTCAAGAGATGTACAAAAAAACAACTATAAAGACCTTAAAAATAGTTTATCTTGTGATTATATGAAACTTACCAGTTAAAATCATAAGATTCACCATAAAATTAACAGATTTTTTTTATTATTATTCAAAGTATATGAAAACATATTTACCAACAATTTTTTTTTTCTGGCTGAAATGTGCAAAAATGAGCAACTCATATAACTTGTTTCATATGCAAAGAGGCTGTTTATATAGTCTTAAAGGGACAGCAGCAATACCGTAGTTGTAAGGGTCAAAGAGGCAGGGTGCAAAATGGTCATAAAAACTTGGTGCAGCAGAGACTTTAACATTAAAAACTAAAATGATAAAGAAATAAACACATTCTGACTCTGTATGCTCCAGTAAAAATGTTGAACATGAATATCAGATGTCACATTTGCATAGGAGACGACTCATAACTCAGCTGTGCCAAATACCTTTGAAAATCATTAGGAACGGTTCTGTTTCAGCAGCAGTTCCACTTATAGCAACACATTTTCCACATTTGCTTTCTTGAGTATGACACATTTTTTCATGAGCTGAATTCTGAGCTGGATCTAACCACTTAAAGAGGCAATTCACCAAAAAGCGAAACATCTGTCATCATTTCATCACCCTCATGTCGTTCCAAAGCTTTTTGACTTTCTTTCTTCTGTGGAACATAAAATAAAATATTTTGAGAAATGTCTCAGTGTGTGTGTGTACCTGGTATTTATCACATTATGGGGACCAAATGTCCCCACAAGGATAGTAATACTAGTCAATTTTGACCTTGTGGGGACATTTTTGAGGTCCCCATGAGGAAACAAGCTTATAAATCATACAGAATGAGTTTTTTTGAGAAAGTAAAAATGCACAAAGTTTCCTGTAAGGGGTAGGTTTAGGGGTAGGGTTGGTGTAGGGCAATAGCACATACAGTTTGTTCAGTATAAAAACCATTACGCCTATGGAATGTCCCTGTAAAACATGGAAACACAACATGTGTGTGTGTGTGTGTGTGTGTGTGTGTTTTCTTTTCATCCAATGGAAATCAATGGTCAAATGTTTGGTGACCAACATTCTTCAAAATATTTTATGTTCTGCAGAAGAAAGAAAGTCAGTCATACACACAAAATTACGGTTCTAAAGGGGATTTTCACAGTGAAGCCATAGAAGAACAATTTTGAACAGTTCTTATTTGAACCATTTTTTCCTATTTCAAGAACATTTAAAAAATCCAAAGAACCCTTTTCCATTATAAAGAACATTTTGTGGAATGGAGAGATTCCATGGATGTTAAAGGTTCTTCATGGAACCAAAAAAGCCAATGAAGAACCCTTATTTTTAGGAGTTCAGGTTTGGAAATGCACGAGGGTGACTAAATGATGGCAGAATTTGTATTTTTGGGTGAACTATCCCTTCAACAGACAGTAAAAGCTAATGTTTTGGTGGTTTCAGACACAAGCGTTTTGTCGTTTCCATTTTTAAACTCGTCTTTGCTTCCACACCTCCCTGCTGAAATCCATGTATATCAGTCACTTCATAACAGGCTTCATAACAGGCTTCATAACACTATTCAAAGTGGCCGTTATTCATACACAAAACTATGCACCTGCACGAGAAGAAAACACTTTTTTCCCTCTCATCCTTCACACATGACTAGCAGCAGGCTTTCCCTTTTCTTGCCGATTTTTCACAGCAATTAAAGGCTTTTCTCTTTGATTGAGTTAATAGCCTGGATCTAGGCTGTCACTTTGTTCCATTTCCACTATGCTGGAGACTAATGATGCCTAGCCAATCCAAGGAAGCCCCCGTCGAGACTCTTTCACACGTTTGCGGCTTCTCTTTCGCTCTTTGCCGGGGCCCCATTGACCTTTTGCGGCCAAGGTGTTTGGGGCCTCTCTGTGTCTGTGGTCGGGAGGCCCCCTTGTCCTTTCTGGGGCCCCTCGGCCCCCATGTGGCCCTCTGTGGGGCACAATGCACTCTCTGCTGGAGGTTGGCCCCTGGATCGCTGCTTTCAATCCCACAATGCCTCACTGCCAAAAGGGGGTAATAGGATTTGAGGTTTGTGTGCTGGTGGGTCTTCTGAAAAATATGTCATTGTCATTTTTTTCACTCTCTCTCTCTCCTCATTTTTTCGGTTCCTCTTGCTTCGCTTTTCATCTAAATTGATTTTTCTTTGAGGGGCAGTGATAAAAACAGAGAAAAGAAAAAAACAAGGGGGCGGAGCAGCTGCGGAGGACTGGAAAAGCGTTTCAGGAAAAACAGACAGTGGCTTGTTTTGTCTGCACTTCTCTGCAGTAGGTTAGAAGAGACATTATATGTCACGTAAGAGACATGTTAACATGATGGTGGTCATATATCAGTGCCACATACACACACAAACACTGATAAAGAGGTCCACCGCTGACTTTTAGCTCTGAATCTGGATCATTTTCACAAAGCATTTGTTGTTTTCAGAACTACTGGTTCTTGTACCTAGGACATTGTAATTATGATTTTCAAAAGGGAGAAATTATAACATTTTGACCTTGGCCAGTATATGCAACACATAGAAACCACATCTACAAATCTACTTCAGGAAAACATGTTTGAAAACATGAATATTATAATACTAAATACTACTAATACTAAAGAATACTAAATAATACTAAAATAACAGTGCTATTAGTGGCACAGAAATAATATAATATAATATAATATAATATAATATAATATAATATAATATAATATAATATAATATAATATAATATAATATAATATAATATAATATAATATAATATAATATAATATAATATAATATAATATAATATAATATAATATAATATAATATAATATAATATAATATAATATAATATAATATAATATAATATAATATATAGTGGCAAATAAATGATATAATATAATATAATATAATATAATATAATATAATATAATATAATATAATATAAATTTGAAACTAGTGGTCAGTATTGTTGACTAAATCGAAAACTATTCAAAGAAATTTTAGGTAATAGAAATAAAAGCTGAAATAAAATAAATTGAAAAAAAAAGAAAAAAAAAACTTATATGTACTTAAAAAAATTAAATGTACCAAAATTACTGATATAAGTTTAACCTATAGGTATATACATATTTAAGAATAAAAAGCACATAACAATATTCCTAAACATTAAAGTAACATTAAATTGAAAACTGAAAATATAAAAATAAAAGCTAATTCAAAATATTGATGAATACTGTATAAATAAAACTAACAAGGCTAGTGGCATGGAAATTGCAGATGTGTCTGATGTGTGTTCAGAAACAGTCCTGAATGTGATCCTGTCACTGTTCTCATGGTGCAGAAAGCATCTGAGGTCTGTTTGGCCCGGTTCTGGTGGTCCTCTGGAGTCTCTGTGACCAGCTGTTGATGCTGTATACAGACAGTGGTCGTGGGTGGCTTCAGATTCCCCCGGTGATGCTCAATGGACGTGTCTGAGTTTGGCTGAAGCTGAACTGATTGGTGATTATTTGGCCGTGTCTGGGTTTGTGGGGTCTCGTTTGGGTCGATATGAAATGCTGAATTGTTGAATCGCTAAATGTGTCTTGGCCGCGATGAGGTCTCTGCGGTGGTCGTGTTGGTTTTGTCCATGTCTCGGACGCCGGCTGTGACAGAATTGAACTGCATTGGCTGTGATCGCTTGGCCCGGGTGGGAGGATTGTGAACTCTGTCTTGGCCGGGATCGCGAGATGACCATCGTGGCCGATTGTGGTCGGTTCGGCGGCGCTCCGGGCAGAATCTGTTTCCTGACATCTCTGTCGGGCCTCCTGTGAGCTCCCTGACAGCAGTGCTGAGAATGACGGAGCGGAAGGGGCACCGGGTCACAGCTGCAGAGACCAGAGGGAGAGGGCGAAGGGAAGATAAAGAAAGCGCATGTGTGTAAGACAGACACAAAGAAAACGCAAGAGAGCGAACAGGGTGAGAACAGAGAGAGAAAGACTGTGTGTTTGTCAGAGATAAAGACAGAGAAAGAGAGGGGAAGAAAGAGATTCTGTGGTGGGACTGAGAGTTTAGAGGGGGGTCAGTGTCAGCCATGAGTCTGTCAGTCACAAACCAGCGCACACAGACCCCAAACAACCAACTCCAGACATCAGACCCTCTTATTCACGACTTAATGTTCATTCATTCATAAATATTCTGAATTAAGAGTGAAAAGCAGCCTGTCGTGGATGGGCAGAGGATGATGAAGAGGACTGTTGTCCTTTTGAAACATATTTTTCTGTCACACACAGAGACAGGATGTACTGCAGCCAATCGGAAAAAAAATGAAATCGTGATTGGCCAAGTGCAATAATTAAACCTCAAAGGGGGTGTGATTTAGTGAAATAAATATATCGCCTACATGCATGTTACAAAAAAAAAAAAATAATAAAAATAAAAATAAATGTGTGGACTGAAAGCTGAAGTTAAATTTTACTTTCAGTCCACTTTGAAGGTTCAAGGTTCAATTTAATAAAATAAAATAAAATAAAATAATAAAACAAAAAAGTGTGTTGAATGGTCGCTGAACTAAAAAGTGGATAAAAAAAATAACTTTCAGTCCACTTTAAAGTTCATGTGCAATATGAAAGCAAAACTGAGCCCTTTTTATTCTGTTTGCTTTTGGAAAATAAAATAAAATAAAATAAAATAAAATAAAATAAAATATTTTGGAGATGTTTTGTTAAGGTGTATATATATATATACACCTTAACAAAACATCTCCAAGATCTCCATTTACTCTCCTATAAGCTATGAAAGAGCAAACTCTCAGCACTAACACACACACACACACACACACTGGGGCATTCAGAAGAGAAGGACTAAATAGTCAATAACTCAATTACAAAAAGCAAGTTAAAAAGGTTAGTTCAATCTCAGTACACTCACAACCCCTCTTCCGCTATGCCTGAACCAGCTTCTTTGCCTCACATTCATCACACACACACACACACACACACACACACACACACACACAGAAAGTCATTTGTAGATTGTCAGCCAGTGCTAATTTTTGAGTGGGTAAGGAATCTACCCATCAGCTTTATATGAAGAATCTGTTTCCTTTCAACACTACTTTCATTTGCGGTTTTCCCGTGGCTGATTTATTGGCTGCAGGTGAGTGTGTGTGTGTGTGTCTCAGTACCTTTTCAAGTTATTTTTGCATTCGCCAGTTTAGACGATTATAACTTATCTGAACATTAAACACGCACCTGTGCAGATAATGTCCCGACACAAAGCAAGTCGATTTCCTGTCCACTCTTGAATTTGTCGGTAAGGTGATGTTTGCAGTGTGTTTGAATGTTCCTGCAATGCACAAAGAGAAAACACACAGTATTCAATCAATGTGAGTGTGCGAGTTGTTTGTGGCCGTACCTGTGCAGGTGTGAGAGTGACAGACAGATGAAAGCGCCACACAAGAGGCCGTCAGCACCTCTGCCTTTCTCCCACAATCCCTCATTCACAAACAAGACATGACACAGACACAGAGGGGTGTGTGAATGCTATTTGTCTCTCTATTTTGTTTGTGCTTCAGTGTGTGTATTATTTGGTAAATGAATGCGAAAGAACAATAGAGAATGGAGTGTGACATGAGCTCAAAAGACGCCAAGCCCTTCACTGTCGATATATATATATATGTGTGTTAATATTTTTAAATATAAATAAAAATTGATATAAAATTATATTACATTTTTAAAAGTTTAATAAAACACATTTTGAATAAAATCTAAACATATTATCATTTTAAATATTACATTGAAATGTAATTTTAAGTGTAAAAAAACAGTTTATTTAAATGAAATGTATTATTTTACCCAATATTTGTGTGCTATGTATTTTTATGCTCACATTGTTAGCTTAGTAACTAGTAACATCTCTTTCTGTCCATCTTCACAGTTTCTGCGTGTGGAGCAAGATAAAGAATGCAATATGGATTGTTCCGGAGCTCCTCGCAAGCCTCTGTGTGCATCAGACGGACGGACCTTCAGTTCCCGCTGCGAGTTTCTCCGTGCAAAGTGCCGTGACCCTCAGCTGGAAGTCATACGAGGGTCATGCAAAGGTCAGAGTTCACCAATCAAACGCGAGCCGCTGCTGGTTGGCCTGATGCCCTTTGTGGGTCAGGGTCGAGGCGGGCAGGGTTAAATCCATCTAGGGATAAATGATCTTTCTTTGACAAGACAGAGCGGGATTTTGCAGAGTACAACACATTGTCCTCTATGACATTTCAAATTGTACTCTTAAGAGGCATTCACACTAACAGTGATCTGAAGCGAGTTGATGATTTGAGGTGACACAAATGATGCAGATTCAACTATGCTCCTGATTGTCCTTATTGTTGCATCTTAAATTTTAAAAAAATGTTTAATGTTTTGAAAAACTTTAATCAAAAATAAAATAATGCATTTAGTTTATAAATGTAATATTTATTTTAATAATATATTCAATGTGATATATTATTAATAATATTATATATTAATAATACATTAAATATAGTTACATTTACACATTTAATAATCATTAAATTTAATACCATAAATTAAAATTAAATTATCAAAGAATTTTGGCTCTGAAACAGCTTTACTTTTCTGATGATGTAATCGAGGCCACACTGGCAGAATAAAAAATCATATGAACCAGTAATGTTATAGCCTATCCAGTTAAACCCTGACAGACAAACTTAAGATCCAGTGTGGATTATGAATGCCATTTTATGTTTTCTATAAAATCACTATATTTGGAATGCAAATGAAATAGCAAAAGTGTAGCAGTATATAAAAATATACAAAGACTGGTAAAAATTGGTGCATTTTCACAAAATCCATAAATTGAGAAACATCTTTGCTAAGATCTTGATGGGGATCTTGCCTGTGTAAAAACAAATGTACAGTGGTGCATGCATACGTGTAAGAGATCGGTGGTCATTTGTATGAAGGGAGGGGCGAACGCCATCAGTAACCACAGAGGTCAAAGGTCAAATGGCTCACAAACACTCTCATTGTATTAGGCTCGGCAGGAAGACTCTCGTGCCCTGTACACTTTTCTGCTCTGAGCTCTCTTTCTTTCTGTCTTTCTGTCTCCCGCTCACTCTTTCTTTC